CCTTTCGGTCCCACTATTATTTATCCTGTTGTGGGAGACCTTTCGGTCCCACTATTATGTATCCTGTTGTCCGACAATCATTTATGTATCGACTAGTATTCTAGTCGTTTTTATTTTTTCTCGCTCTAAAAGGGCGTGGGTTATCAATAAAGTGAGATCGGCGAACTTTGATTATTTTTTGGTCGCCGAGTAAAAGGGCGTGGGTTATCAATAAGTGAGATCGACGAACTTTGTGATTATTTTTTGGTCGCCGAGTAAAATGGCGTGGAGTGCTACAAGTTTTTCCTCTTGTTCCGAGTTTATTTTTTTGTTTCTCTCTTGGAGTTCGTTATACCGATACCTTTTTAGTTTTTCTTTGATCCAACGTGGCCTTCAAAATTTTGCGCTCACGTGATCACGAAAAATTGACGTTAAGTGATGACATTATTGATAGGGACATTAATATCAAATCGTGATTTATCAGATCAATTATTTATTTTTATAAGTGGATTTTGAATTAAAATATTTAATAATTGCATAAAGGACATCTCCTAGTCTGGCTAATTTTGCGTGGAATAACGAACTTAAAGGTTCCCGAGTATGCCAGTCCCGATGAACATCGGCTCGCTTTTCTTTCTGTTGAAGCCAGAAAAAAGAAATTAAGTCTTATTAGCCGACTGTGATAGCCAACAAGCCACTAGTCACTTTAGAAATTGATCTTTTGTTCTTGAAGACACTTTCTTATAATATATTTGGACATATCATGCAAAAAAATCTACGTATACTAACAGAGAACACTCACCAAAAGATATTGAGAAGTTGGTGCTTGCATATAGCAAAGATAGCGCTGATATCAAGGAGTGCGACAATTCAACAAACCCGAATACAGTGGTTGTTCAAAGAAAGCTTCAAAATTATAGGCTTGTCATTCGTGTAGTTATAGGTAAAAGAACTCATCCTTGGACGATAGTGACCTCAAACCTGATCCGACCCGAACAGAGCTTTAGAAATGACGCAGAAAGAATAATACCATTTTAAATAGGCTTAATATCAAATATCATTAAATAATGATGAACATACCTTAGATTACCATCTTTCACATCATTTTGTTCTTTCAAATTTAAATATTTTAGTAAAATCCAAGTAAGACAAACGAATAATAAAGATATTGACATAGTAAGGAACGAACTAAAGCATACCTTTATTTCTGATATAAGTTGTTCAGGGATTGGATAGTTGCTAGACGGTTGTTCTGCAGATAGCTTCTGCTTGGATGAAGAAATTGTCTCATTTTCAGATGTCATTTTCTCTCCGTACTCGCAAGGTAATATGTCACCCGAACTGATAATTTCGGGTCAGGTCAGATTCAGATCGGGTTTGATCCGAAAATTGTAAAATAGTTTTTAGTTAATAACTTTTATTTTTACTAAGACTCTTGTATTTGGTGTCTAAGTAGAGTTGTTCGGAATGTAATTGTGTATATACCCACAAATTTTCGTTGGTGCTTTGTTAGAGATTAAACAATTTCTTTTAATTTATTTAATATGAGCCACGGGTATTACCTTATTATTGTTGTCACTATCTTGTATTTAATAAAAGTGTTAAATTCAATATCTGATATCGCATTTAAGATATCGGAAAATGGTTAGAAACTAAGCCTTTACCACATATAATTTATATCTCTATCGAGTCAAATATCTATTCCATATTGCGTCCTTAATAATAGCAATGAGGAACAACTAAGAAGAAGAATAATAGTAACAACAACAACAGTAATAATACACAAGCAATAAAAATCTAAATAATAAACAAAAAAATAGATATTGAAATACAATCATTATATTCGATTAAGAAATAACACAGCAGCTATTCGTCTAAAAATGCAAATGCAAATGCAAATTCATAATATTAATATTAATATTAATAGTATAATACATAAAGGCAAGTAAATAGATTAACTCACTTTTTTAGCTTGCTTGTAAAAAGCTTTAGATTGGAAAGAAATCTCTTGACTTCGACCAATTAAATCCTCCAGCCTTTCTCCACGTTGCAAAAGACTCTCAATAGTATTATGCTATCAGCGAAAAAAAAAAACGAACACATGTAAATAGTAGTAAAGATCAAAGAAAAGAATGATCCATAATCCATATAATGAATAGATGTAAGAATACTAATACCAACCATAACCTGTTTGGTTTCATCCAACTGTTCTTGCACCTTCATTATCTGGTCACCTTGTTTCGGATCCTGAAATCTCGTCAAATACGTTTTTAACTCGGGAAACGGATTTTGATCTGCCTTCCAGGTGTCTTTTGGATATTTTAAGAGGAATTCGTCAAGATATTTGTTCATTAATGAGAAGGCCACTCGTTGTGGGTACTCTTTGTCAGCTATTATGATTCCTGTGATCCCTTCGATTCGTGAATGCGCATAAAAGACATAATCTACGGATATTCGAGAAAGATGGGTAAGAAACTTGGCAATGTCAAACGAAAAGAGTATCGCAATAACATAACAATGACTTTATATTAAGAAAATGTATTTGAAAGCGAATATTCCTGAAATAATGTTTAGAACGATAAGACTTTATAATAAAAGTTTCATAGCCTAGATTCGGAATTGAACAGCGTCAATGACAAGAAATACGAGTAAATCATCACCTCTCTCGGAAACACTTTGTCTCTGCCCAAGTTTTGTCCGTTGGGCAACGGTCTTTGAAAAGAAATGCATAAATTCTTGAGCGCTAAACAAGCAAGACTGTTCTAGATTAGAGTATTATTGTCGAAAATTTGCTTTCAATGCGTGTACAAACCGTGCTCACCTTCCCCGCTGAAAAAAGCCAAAGCCTGAGAGATCATATTCAGCGACTAACTTCGTGGTGTCTTGAGTAGAAGTGGCCGAAGCCAAAATTGAGAGAGCGTAAAGTTTCATTTGAAGCTTTGACAAGATACGTGGAGTAATAACGGGTTTATATTTTAGAGAGTTCGTGTAACATCCATTATTAAATATATAGGTTATTAATTAATTTATTTATGCCATTTATATTCTGGCTGAAGTTGCATAAATCCTAGATGGTAATATTGGCAAAAATCAGAGAATTTAAAAATTATATTATTTCTTTGTTTCTCTAAAGTCTTAAAGATCATGTATAAGTAACATACATTTCACCATGCTCCACAGATATAACTAATCGTATATGAAATTCGCTGACATAAAATTCTTTGATTGAATCCAAATCCTTCTTTTAGTTGTGATTATTATTTAGCTGATAGGTGTTATATAGCAAGCAATTAATAATAATCATCTATCTCGATCAATCATCTTTTCAACAATACTATCTATCTAGAGCTCGAAACCATCCTCAATTATCGAGAGGTGAATATCAAGCGTCGAATTAGTCTCGTTCGATCATTCATTCTTTGTTTAATATTGTCCGCACTCTGTTATAACCACCGGTAACTTTGGCCGATTTCCCGGTCCCGTTGAAACATTCTCGATTTTTCTTAATGTGAGCAGTCCATCAATGAGTTTTCCAAAGACCACGTGCTTACCATCAAGAAAATCACATTTGGCGCATGTAATGAAGAACTAAGTAATAGAAACCAAAAACTTCGATCAATTAATATAATTGATTTTATCATCTGAAATATTCATAATTATAACAAACAAATGACTTGCCTGACATCCATTTGTATTTGGACCAGCATTGGCCTAAATAAATAAATACATACATACATACATAAAATTAGCTAATGTCAAATCAAAAAAAATAAATCAACGAGTTGTACCATAGAAAGAAGACCGGGTCCAGTATGTTTTAATGTAAAGTTTTCGTCGGCGAATTTTTCTCCATAAATACTGAACAGTCCAGTCCCATCTCCCTACAATCCATGTGAATGTAAAATAGATAAGATGGCGGAACAGTTATTATGCCAAGAAAAACATCATATGTTGATTGAAAATTGAATAATCAGCTCACCTTTACAAAGTCACCGCCTTGTACCATGAAATCTTTAATTACTCTTATTCATAAAAAAAGATGAATCAAGAAAAATTATAAATCTGACACGTCAATGAATTATCTCGTAAAATGTAAACCTGTGAAAGGTGGCTCCCTTATATCCCTGTGGAGTTCCATTTTTTCTGTTAAAAATAAATGATCACGAGTATTAAAGAAAATGAACCAAACTAACGAAAAAGATTATTATTACAAGCTTACCTGTATTCTCCTGTACACAATTGCCTTTAGAAGCGAATACGAGTTAATTATAGTAAGGTGGACTGTGAGAAAGGAGTTCTTTTATAATACCTAAAATTCTCTGCAGTCTTTGGAACTACATCAGCAAATAATTCCATTTTCATTCGTCCAGTCGGTTGACCACCAATAGATATATCAAAAAAGACTATGGGATTCTCTCTTTCAGCCATGACTTGTTCGCAACTCTAAAACAGAATTAAGACAAATCTTGGAGAAATTATAGAAATTATAGTAATTTTTTGTGTTACACGACTCGAAAGTTTAAAAAATTGAAGCTCGAGAGACCTACTGCAGAACTTTTTGTTCCAAAATTTCGATTAGTCAAAATTTGCCCGTTTTTCTCGGGAGAAAACTTTCTAACAAATAAAAGATGCATCGAAATCCTCTGCATAAACAAAAAAATGGTATTGGGGTTTCTTTAATGACGACAGACGACGAAGTGAGAGTTGGTGAAGTACCATCAGTCGATATTGTAGAGTTTGCAGGCGAAGATTTCAAACCCGAAGCATGTATGTTAGTTCGAGTAGCTCTTGTAAGAGAAATAGAGTTTTTTAATCTCAATAAAAAATCAAAAATATATATATATTTGTGTTGACCTTTTAACAAATAATATTTTGATTATTGATTACTGTTTGCGTGATAAAACTTAATCTTTGAATTGGTCAGACATTCAAATGATCCTGACGAGTACTTCTGAAGAAGGAGTTCGGGCATTCTATAATAATCTACGTGAATCAAAGGAATTAGCGGCTAGTGATTTACAAAGAAACGTTTACAAAAATTACAACGAATTCGTCACGATATCTAAAGAAATATCAAATATCCTTTCCCGAGATTTCTGTGTTTTTTGATCGCACCTTTTATTCTCTAATGTGTGAATATTGTATATGAATTTTCGTGGTTATCGTTGACCTTTATGGAACGTTACAGTTAGAAAGCGACATGTTTGTTTTACGTGGATTACTCAATGAATTACGGAATGTGAGCAATAATTTACGAGATGATAGTAATGTTGAATCGGCCACTGCTGATACTGGTGCGTCAAATAATGATTCATCGTATTTTTTGATACCATTAAATTGTAAGCGTTAATATGATAATATTGAATATAGTAACAACTGTCACCTCCGATCCCATTATTCCAAGAGGAAGAAAACCAGTATCTAATAATGCCGCTGATCTGCAATCAATCTGGAAGGCACAAATTGAAGCTCTTTGGGAAGGCGTCGAGGGAGCTCAGGTTTATCATCTTTTCTATTATAATGATGAATTTTATTTTTGCTTTACTGAATACTTAATATTATTTCTTTTTTAGAAACTTGTCCCACTCGAACCTGGTCGTCATATTATTCGTGAAAGTTCAAGCTTTGTTGAAATTAATCCGGCAACTAATAAACCAAAGCAAGGAGTACAAATGTTTCTACTGAGTGATTGTTTACTGGTTGCTGTGAAGAAAAAACGTGCAATGGTGAGGATTAAGCTTATAGCTGAACGATGCTGGGGATTAAATGAGATCACCTTGATTGATATGAAGGATACGAGTGGTATGCATTATGTCATATAGTGACTTGGATGTTAATTGATTGTCATATAAAATTTTAAGCTGACATTTTATAAGAACATCAAAATTTGATCAAGATACTTAAACATCCGGTCGATACGTTCATCTATAAAGCTGATAAACCCGAGGAAAAGAAGAATCTTATTAGTATGACTCGTCGTGCAGTAGAAGTGATGATGGTGTTCAAAACGAACGGTGTAGATCAAGCAGGGAATACTGGTTAGACTTTGAATATTATTGCTATTTTTCACCTAGAGGACATCAGCTGACCAATCTCTGATTGATATTTTTTAATTGATCTTCAAAGATTCGATAATAAATGTTGTAAGTATCAGAATTAGTTTATCGTGATTTGCATCTAACTAATTAGCTTTGTCATTTAACAGCAAAATCAACAGCTTTCTCCATTACTGAGAAGTATGCCAAGAAGAAGTCGTAGTCCAGCATCTCCCTTGTTAGGTGCTCCAAGAAACCAAGCAGTTTCTAAGGAGGTATCATTGGGTGATTCTCGGGAAATTGCTGACTTGACTGATCAATTGGATGTTAGCATCGCACAAAGAGAATATGACGAAGCAGTGGAAAATATTGAACGAGGTATAAAAATTTGTTCATATAATTATCTAATCTGCATTACTTTTGCACGGTTCTGATTCGTATACTTTTATTCTATCCAGCAAAGTCTATGGTCAATAATCTGTCGCTTGAACCTGGGAAGCTCGACGTCATACGTCGAAAAATGGATGATCGAGTAGTAAGATTATCGAATGCGATTAGTCGTGATCTAACAAATCCTGATCTCAAAAAATCTCAAGTGCAAAAAAATGTTCGATGGCTTTTACGTTTGGGGTATGGTGAACAGGTGAATACACATTTAGAAAAACATTCGTATGTGCTGAACAATCTCATTCCTAATGAGTTTTATTCTAACTCATTATAATAGGCACGACAGATGTTTTTAGGTGCACGAAGTAAAATAATCCGAATTCGAACAAAGTATGTTTATTTGATTATGAAGTGTAGATTTCGTTGTTTGATAATTGATATTGATTTATTGCATTTCAAAGACAATTAAAATTCGAAGGAGATATACCACGATATATTAATGAATTATCGCTCGTATATTTCACATTGGTAAAGAACACTTGTGATTGGTATAACGCTGCATTTAGAGACTTGCGAATGGCATCAGGTAAATATATCGTATTATTATTTTACTAGTATATCATCTCTATTGATTTAATATTTACAACCAATATTAGGTCTTGTAAAGTGGTCCAAAGAAGAAATGGAGCATTATGCCAGCATGTTTAGACGACAAGTATATAGCATGCACGATCCGGACGCTCAGATTGTTCAAGAGTGTTTGAAAATTAATAAGGATCATTGTAGTATAGTAAGCGATATCTATACTTTAAGTGACTTTGTAATTAATCGCAAATCATTGTCCTAATACTTTTTTGTTTGATACTGCTCAGTTACGTGAAGTTGGTTTAGATCTGAAATTTTATCTAGACAAACTGTTGGACCCTAATGCTGTCCTTCCTGTTTTTGATCATGATGAAAGCGGCTACGCTATGACAGTGGTGATTGAAGAACCAGAAGGATCACACGATTCTATGATTGATAATTATGGAACAGCAGTTTAAATTATTATTGTACAATTTTGGGTTTATGCACCATAGAAGAATTAAACTTAATCTTCCCAGATTTAATTAATAGACTATTGTTATGTTTATAGCTTTGTTAATTTAATATTCTAAATTGAAGATTTTGACTTGCTTTACGAGTATGCTGGAACCATCTTTAATGTCAAAAAATCTAATATCGAGTTTATTAGTAAATCGAACAGGATTTATTAAATATATCGAGATTTTAATTAGCCTCCACTATAAAGAGCGTGAATGCACTCAATTTTCCTTATCATTATGCACCGTATTATTTCACATTTGTTTCGACAAACTTTATAGATATATAAAGACAAAAATTTTATATTTATATCTGCCAAAGACAAATAAATAAACAAAATCCTTTTCATGTATTATCGTTCATGAAAACTCGAATAATTTAATTATAATCACAGTCTTTCGATTACTGTCTGCAAATCAGCTTCACTATAAATCTTAAACCCATGTTCAGGCGTCACAGCCGCAAGTTCAACATTTGTATTATTTAGTTTCTCTTCCATCACTTGTTTTAATACCTTTAGGGATAAAGTTTCGGCACTTTGCAATGTGAGAGACTATTCCAGACGCGATTAAAATTAAGATGAATAAATTTTTTAATTATTACAATCGAATGTGAATTGCTCGTTATCCATCCGTACCTTATGATATTCTTCTTGTAACTCTGTTTGAGCACCTTCTGACCCGGATCCAATAGCTTTAGCATCATATTGCACATATGTACCTGATGGATCGGTGTGAAACCTGATTACATATATTGGATCAGATTTGTAAATAAAATAGTTTCTTAAAAAAAACTCGAGGTATATTGACGATTGATAAACTCACAATTGTGGTCCTTTCTCATCAATACCGGCAATCAGCAACGCCACACCAAAAGGTCTACTCTAAACGCATAGAAATTTAATGAGCTAAAGAAAACTATAAATAAAATACAGAAAGAACATCCTCTCATTAAATGTTGCCACTCAAAAAACACGCACCATAGTCGATTCTTCCCCGTCAGCACCTTCACCAAATCTCAAAGCCAAATCGCATACAGCTTGCGCGACAGATTCTACTTTGATTTTCTCATTATAAGTGAATTCATGATTCTATAAAAAATCACTTTAATTACTTGAAAATATTTCAATAATTATCAAATAAATGAGTGAAAGTAACAAAAAACACTTACCTGCGATTGAGTTCTTGCGTGATCAATCAATGTTCTCGAGTCAGGAGTCAAACCACTCATAGCACACCCCAAGTGCCTATCAATTTCCATGATTTTTTCAATGCTACTCGATACCAAGAGTGGTGAAGTAACGCGTTTTTCAACGGCCAATACAACACCTTCGCTTGTTTGTATTCCTACAGCGGTGGATCCCAACTATTTGACGTGATGAATTCGTAGGTCGCGTAGAATTATATAGCCGGTTGAATTTTATATCGTATGGATCGGAAGGAAAGTAACATGAAAGTGTATCACTTACCTTGATTGCTTCTATGGCATATTCAACTTGAAATAGACGTCCTTCCGGTGAAAATGTGTTTACACCTCGATCGTATTCTGATCTCGTGAGAAACATTGCGACAAGTTTATAAATCGAAAAAAGCGAGATATCTATCTAAAGTTGCGTAATGATCTACGTTTTTGTGCATCTGAAGATAAAAGTCTGCAAATATGGCATTAACATAATGTTGGTTAAACTTGGCCCGCATTAGAACAGCAATGCGAAAAGGATATTCTCTTTTATTTATTTGCATCGGTGATAATTCGATATCATTATATCGAATTTATTATAAAATCATTATATCGAAGAAATTTTATTTGAATTATTATATCGAGATTTTAATTGTATCGAGATTTTTGCCGACAAAAAAGGTCCACTACAGTTAAAACTTGATATAATTAATTAATATCGAGAACAATAAGCACGCTTTTTAGGAGCATAATCGTAATTTCAACGTCACTGAATATCCATATCCTATACACGATATTCGAATTATTCTTTATCATTAAAAAGAAACCCCCCAAGTACAATTGTACTACTTCCTTCGATTCGCAAATTCTCACGCACAGGAAATACTTCGAGATTTTTCCAAATTAAGGTATCTTAATTCACTAAAACCTGTAGTTTAAATGTGCATAGAACATTATACATCTTAATTCCTAGAATCATATGATGTTTTACTATAAGCCAGCTTCCACTCTCGCTTTCACACCAACCCTATCTCTCTTACGCCAAAAACGTTCACATGTCACACCTAGCTCTTTACTCGCTTTTTTTTACTCTCTGGAAATAAAATTTTCGGATCTACCGATTCGAAAGTAAAAGTAGTAATAGGAGTGGTAACACTATAATTTTTTCGTTGTTCAATCAATCTTACATTTAAAATAACCCCTTGATTGCGAAGTTTGACAGTGACTTCATTGTCCATTTCTTTAAGAATAGAATTTACAAAAGAAGCTTAATAAAAAGCATTGTGGAGAATGAGTCTTGGCTATTACTGTTGTGGCCACTATCAATGTTATTTATACATATCGGTGACATTGTGCTTTTAATTTTATGCTGTATGCACATTTATGAAATTTTATTTACAAAGAATTGAGAATTATTATGGTGATAACCAGATCATGGTGAAAATTTGTCCAGAGCTATGCAGATCTTCGTAGATCTTTTGGCCAAAATTTCATAAATTTGGCCAAAAGATATTGACTTTTTTTAACAAATAACGTGATCGTTATCGTTATAGTTATATTATAACGATAACCTTCCATTAACCCCTAACCCTAGTAAATTTTATTTATATTATTTTACAATAGATATTGTAAGAACCTGTAATCGCCATGATCTGCCATAGAGAATTATTATTCGGGAATTTACAGTATATTACCGGAAATTTCAAAAATGAATTTGTCACTTTGTAACCCGATGTCGAGACATCGAGTTACAAAGTGACATTCATTTTTGAAATTTCCGGTAATATACTGTAGGGGTGTGTATTACCAATTAGAAAAAAAGGAAGTTTAGTAAGAATGGAGTTGTCAAATCCAAAACATGTCATTTAAATGAATAAAATTAGGTGACGAGAATTGAAGATTCACAGGATAACAGGAAGGAATGGCCTTCTCTTTCCTTTTCATCACACGCATCTTCGATTTCCTATTGTCATAATAGTAATATAAACAAATTTAGCTTTTACAATTTATTAGAAATTAAACATTCATGAAAATTATTATCTATTATTGTTGCTATGCTTAAACATAGACATGTAACCCGCGTGTTAAAGCATTTGACACGAAGTAAAAAAATTCGTACTATCGCTATATAATGAATACTGTATATCGTTTAGTATGCTTGTAATTGAAGTGCATTTGGTAAGACTTTTCTTTGATGTAATTCCAATACACAAACTTTAGACAGCTAACTCTAAACCCCCGCATATCCGCGCTATTTTTATCATCCGTTGTTCCAATTTCGAATTTTTTTTCTTCGCGTGCGACGATAATTCGGCCGGTAAATCTAATCGTATGAAAAGTATGGTTCATATACTGATACATGTGTGCGCTTTTGTTTAGCGCATCAGTTTTTGTTGTATATCGATATGTATTAAAAATTGAATAATTAATTACAGGCCCACTTCAGCAACAAAATATTTCGAAATGCATGCATTTAATTTAATTTATTAATCTGTCAAGAAGTGTACGAATCGAGCAAAAAACTATTGAGCGATCCTTGTATTACATTCAATGGAAATCATCGTTATGTCATCCACTGAATTTATCGTTATGTCATTCATTCATTGAATCATTGATCAAATTTTCATTTGTCTTTTTGTCTTTACCATTTTATTATTAAACCATTTACCCATTTCTAATAGCTATAGAATTATCATTATTATTATTACTTTCTTATTACTACTTATAGTAACAAATCTCATTCAAGATATTACAATTTTAGTTTAGTATCATGTAAAGTTTCAAAATTCAACAAGTTCGGTTAATAAGTTCAAATTCGAATTTGAATTCGATTAAAAGTTTGATTCAAGTTTAATCAAAATATTGAATCAGGTTTGAATTCAACTAAAGTCCAGTTTGAATTTACTTTAGATTAATAAAAATCATTGAACTCAAAATTTAATTTTACTGTCATGTTCCAAATCACAATTGTTCCAAATCAAAATCAGAATAGGAATATGACCAGAGTTAGAGTAAGGGTTAGAGTTAGTGCTGAAGGATAATTTATATTTGGTTTAAATTTTGATTTGGAATATATTTCAATTATTAATTAAAACAAATTGTAATTTGGAATACAATATTACTTACTAAAGTTCAATCTTGAATTTAAATATTGAATCAGACTTGAACTCAATCAAAAGAAATACTACATTTATAAAAAAAGTTTATTGATTTTAAATTGTTACTGATATTTTATTTATTATTGTTAATAATAAATTTTATGCTTTATATTATTCAAAAAATATTATATAAATTATATAATGATAAACTTTAAAAGGTAAATTTGCCTGGAATTTTTGAATTATTGAAGAATTTCCTTTATATCTTTAAAGTTTATTAAGTATAAGCCTCTCTATTATTATAATTAATAAAATCTTAGTTATTATTTGATAATAAAATTTAAATAAATTTGTTTAAAATACAAATAAAAGCATTAGAAAAAATTTTTTAATAACTCTAACATGACTTTAATTTTGTTCAAATTATATATAACTGGTCTAAATTATAAATAAATTTTAAATTACATTTATTAAATATATATTTTTTGATATTAATTTTTGTTTATTAAATTTATTAAAACTATATTTTTCCAGACAAATTTGTCTAAAAATGACCTACAAATTAAGAGATACTTAAGAAAAAGCATTTTTATTTTTATTTATAATTATTTAATAACAAATGATAATTTAAATAACGAAAATAATATTTTAATAATTATAATTTATTAAATATAATTGCAATACAGTTTAATTTTCTTATAATCATTTTATATATGATTATATTTAATAAAGCTTCATATGATTACAATTTATGCAATAATAATTTCTTTAACCAATTATGTGATTATATAAAAAGTTGAATATTTATTATCAAAAAATATTAATTATTGTTTTGTCATTCAATTCTCTTCATAATCATATATATTATCAGATATGTAATTATAAAAAGATGATTTGATTATAATTGATGGGATCTCTCTTAAAATCCGATTGGATATAGGACTATAAAATTCTTATTCTTTAGACTGTTCGGGATCGATATCCGATCGTGATTGATCTTCCTAATTACACACACATTGCTTTGCTTATACAACATAAAAACGAGTTTTTATCCTGTAAAACATTCGTCATTTCTTTTTCATAAATCTCCTTTTTCTTACGAAAATCTCGCTGCAGTTTAGCCGAATAGTAGTCGTACATTATCGCTATTGTAATAATTATAGCATAAAATACAATAAACAGACTCAGATCTACATACCTTTCGTCTGACAAAAATAAACTGTGCGGGGTTAATAATCAAAACGAGCACAAAAAATTAAATGCAAGTTCTCAGCAAACGATCGCAAAAAAAGAGGAGGGGAACGAAATATACCGTGAATGCTCTAATGAATGAATCACTGCGCATGAATTACTCTAACCATATAACTCATATAGCTTCTATATGTAATGATCCAACACACAAAAATGCTATTTAAATAACGCGTACACACCCCTTTTCTACTTTGCCCGCTTCCTCGTCGTATTCTTTCTATGTCTAACATTATTATCGCCTTCCTCTCTTTTCTCTTCCTCATTTCAAAATAAACGAAAAGAAAAAACGCATCAATCTCTCATAAAAATCAGAGAGATTATTTGTAACTATTGAGAATTAGTCTTTCTCGAGATATCTTCTCTTCTGTTAATTTTATTGGTGAGAGACTCTAGCTTTTTTTTCGGAAAAATGAAGAGCTAGAGTCCGTTTTATTACCATTATTATCGAAATCGTGTTTTTTTTACCTTTTTTATGACATCATCATATACTCTAGCATATTAACATCGGGCGGGAATTAGAACTTTTTTCCAGATAATACACCTTTGTCTTTAATATTATCCCTGTTACATAACCTTAATTAATCTTTCTTTCGTCATTACCACCATCATTACCACCATCACCACCACCACCACCATCACCACCATCATCACCACCACCACCAACACCATATCTTTACGGTAAGGATAATTAATCAAATTACCATCACCGACTAAAACGTGCTCTTATTATTGTTATTATGAATTGATCATATCACAATAACTTTAGTAACTCTTAAGTTGTGAAGTTATAAATTTATCAGAAGTAAGTAAGTAGTGATGCAGCGGCAAGCAAAAATAGCAAGATTGATATTAATATTGATTCTGATGAGTTTAACGAGTCGCAATAGGCAATAGTAATAATAATGAGAAAATTATTCTTTCTATTTCCATCCCTTCCATTCTTTTCTGAATAAAAAAATACAATACAAGTGGCATTTTTTTTATTAATTACCTTTAAAAACAATATATACCATTTTACTTTATTCTATTATTTATTCATTCATTTATTTATTTTAATCAACCAAACGTTACACTATACTTTTTTTATACATACATACATACATATACACAACATACATACATATACACAACATACATACATATAGAGACACTTGCTTAGTCCCAAAGTAGTCAAAATCTACCGAGTTTTTTTTTGTGTTATATTTGACTGCTTGCTGCTGCTGCCGCTTCTGCTGCCTTGCTACTTCTGCTGGCTCCTTTCTCACCGGGAAAAAGCAAATATAATAAAAAAAAACAAAAGAGAGCTGTTTTTGTTTCCATTTTTATTGTATTGTAATGGTTTTTTTTTGACGTTTTATTGTTTATTGTTATAATTTCCTTAAAAAATAATACAATAATTCCTTATCTTATATAGATTTTACTTTATCCATGTTATTCATGAACACGTACTAACAAAAAAAATATATTCTTTATTCATAACAACAACAACAACAACAATAATAATAATAGACTCATTTATTCAAACAATTACGATTAATTCTTAACATAATCCATAATATTATCATCAACCACCAACATCTCACTCGCAAACACATTAACGCACAAACATTTCTTCTTGTCGCATAATAAAACAATCATATCACATAACCATGTCTTCATATCCTTCAACGTCATCAACACAGAGTGCGATACGTTCAGTAAGTGATATTTAATTTCAATATTCAATGTTATTCGCGCGCAAACTAACAAATTTATTATATTCACTATTTCTAGTTGATATTCTCGTCAAGTTCAATAGCTACGGCACCAACATTGCGTCAAGTATTTGCACGACAAAGCAACAAAAAGAGCAAAAAGATGCCGGTTCCACGTCCTCATCCGTCTTCCCCAACTTTATCCACGCTGCCGCTGTCACAACACTCGACCGTATCCAATGACACAACAGCAACCAAAAAATCCACTGACCATAAAAATATCAAAAATTCATTAAAACGATTCAAATTATTCCGCTCAAAAAGTAAAAGATCCTCGAAAATCTCTTCCGTTTTACCACCCATGGCTGTCCCCATATTAGTTCCGTACGACATTGTAGACGACGACGTATCGTCTATCTGTTCCGAAGTTACAAGTGTTGATCTGCGAACATGTTCGGTTCCTAATTTGCATATCTCGGTTTATTCGGATGATTCACCGGCGCTGTCAGTGACCGGATTTAAACATCACAGTGTACAAACCGAGACTTTACTTGAAGAGGATGAAGACGCGATAAATGAGATGGAAATCTTGGACAATGACGAATCCGATGATGGTTGGGAGGAGAAAAATTATGAAAAATTGGCTGTTCCCATTCCAAATTCATTGCGTCGATCTTCTTTGCCTGTTCCAATGACTTCGTCACCAACATTTAATCAAATCACTACGACGACGTCTCATAATAAACGTCATCATCGTGCAATGTCATTGCCACAATCCTCAATCCAAGATTTGCCAAAGAGTTTGTATCATCGTCAACCAACCCCAAGTGAAAGCTGGGACGATGATTTCGATCTGATAAATATGCCAGAAGTTCAAGTTCCTTTGTTGGTCGAAGAAACTCAACTTTCTATACGGTTTGATATCTCTAATATTCGTGATTTCACAACACAGGTCGAAGGTAATTTTCATATCATGTATTTTAATACTCATAATATTTTCAACGTGTAATGTCACCTATAGTAATTTGATTTACTAATTTACCTACTACCAATTTTCAGAACTGAAAACGTTACGAACTAGAAAAATGAAACTAGCATTAAACCTTCAATCTCGAGTTCCAAGCACCAGAAAGAAATGGAAGCACGGATTAGTTCGAAACGACGAAGTAAAGACATTCAAAAAACTCGAAGAGACATTCAAATCTGATTGGGAAGAAGCCAATGTAATTATCGAGATTTCGGAGGCTGCGCGAGATCAGACGCCGACTTTTAATGGCGGAAAAAGCGTGGAGCTTGGTATTGATCAAATTCCCTCTGAACGGCATTTGACCATTTTACGAAAGATAATTGACGAGCAGCTGGGGAATAGTGTCAGCATTACTAGTAGTGATGATATTAACAATCCCAGAAGCTTATTTCAAATTGATTTCGAGGGTAATAACGACAACAATGAAAATACAATTAACAACGAAGAGAACAAAGAGAATCAAATGATGGGTATTATGTCATCATCATCACCGACCTTTGACGAAATCAATATCAACAACTCCACCAATGCTGTTGCTAATTCATCCAAAAAAGTTAAGCCTGAATGCAATGCATGGAATAGTTTCTATGGACTGAAACGTAATAATAGTGGGCAAGTAATTGGTAATGCTGCGAAAAAGAAACGACGCGAAAATGTGCGAATATCTGTGGACGAAATGCCAAGTCTGATTGAACATTTACGTAAATTGCAAGAAAGATTATCGAAACACGTTGACCAACTGTCTCAGTTGAGAACTGTATGATATTTTTAATGTTGATTGCGATATGAAGAATCCACCACCATAATCAAACCACATTCTTTCCTCCGAGAAAAATACTCGTAATAAAAAATAATAGACTAATATAATTTGTAATTGAACAATAACTATAGAGGGTTTTCGTGTGTGTATATATATATATATATATAATTCTTTGTGAATATTTTCTCTTTGTTTATATAATTTCTATCCTTTCATTTTTTTTTAATCAACTCTATATATATACATATATACATACCACCCTTTTTACAATACGCCGTATATTCATTCACACAATATCTCCAACAAAACCTCTCGCACGCTTTTTTCATCTTTTTTGGGAAAAATTAGTTATTTTACTCGATTCAGATTCACTCTACATACAATCTTTGCATACATTGTTGCATATATGCATAACTCATTCTTTCTATTTTTTGTACATCTTCGCACTTGACCTGTTCAACAAAATGACCTCGAGATAGGTATATATAGATGCTTTCAATTCTCCGCGACGAAATGACAATTGAGTCCTCATGCATCGCCTCTTCATACAATTTTTCATTACATCCACATTGTTCATCACCGCATACTCAGTAATTCAAAGAATATTAATATTACGGACAAATTACATAATCATCACCTTTCTATATGGTATTTACGCGATTTCATCACTTCCTTCTCTTTTACAGTTTGTATTATTATATTTTTTTTGGTGTTTTATTGTATTTTTTTTGTAAATTTTTTTCTTTTTCCTTTCTCTGTTTATATATTTTCCTTTTTCCCTTTTTATTCTTATTTTCTTGATTTTTTAATATCATAACCACCATCAGTGTCAAAAAATGACACATTATGCTTTTTTTACAGGTTTATATCATTTTTAGTGATGGATGATTCTCCCCATTCTTCTCGCTGTCTGTCATATTCTTATTTATATTTTTTTGAGGGTATATAAATATAAGCGTCTATCAAATATATTTAGTTTCTTTTGGCCTATGTACATATAGATCATATAGATCTAAATTATTCGAGGTTATTTTTTATTTCTTATATAACATGCATGTAGTTATCATTATATATAATCGCGTAGAGAGTAGCTTGTATTAATAGCATCAAAATGGAATTCGAGCTTCTTTCTTAATACTAATAATAAATAAATCAATATAATTAAAAAAATAAGGCTCTCCTGCCTAACCATTATTCAGAGTGTATCCAATTAATTCATATCCATTAATCGCTCTCCATTAAAGATTGAATGAATTACAAGAAAAATCCCCGTCGTTATATTTACACATTGAACAATTTTGGCGTTTACTAATATTATATTATAAAATAATAGATTCTGATTGGTCGAATTGATTATTATATATAAGATCTACAATTCAAAATTGGCATTATGGCGCAGTATTGGATATCATGCTATCCTTAACTATATCAACATTCATTTCAGAATTTTTTTGTTTTTTTTTAATTTTGATTTCTTATATTTTTATTTTTTATATAGATATTATTATTTAATAATATTTGTATAGCAAAAGATCTTTATATAGATTTCTTCTTACAATTATAAGAAAAATTATAAAACAAGTTAAGTTTATTACTAAAAAAATTATATAATATATGATTGATAAGTTTAAAATAGTTTCATTAACAAAGCTTCTTTATTATTATACTTTTTACTATTATTACCTTAGTTAATGTTTTATATAAATTATACAAGTATATAATACACGAATAACAATATTACTAGATTATTCCAAGTCTATAACAAAAATTATACTAAATATTAAAGAGAAATTATAAGATAATTACTTGTAATAATTTCTAATTATTAATATATAACTGATATCTAATTAATTAATATTGCTTATTATCAAGTAAAATGTTTAGAATTGTTAATAGAGTATTTTGATTCATATTAAAATATATAATTCACTTTGAAGTAATTTCAGAATGAGTTATATATTTTAATATAAGTCAGAGTACTTCATTAATAATCCTAGAAGTATTACTTATATATAAAATAAATATTGTTAAAATATTTAAAATATCTTTTTTAACTAGTATAAAATAAATTAAATATCTTTTATTTCTAATTTATCATTTCATACTATTTTAACTTTTTTATTTTTTTAGCATTTTATACTAATTTATCTTTTATAATTTTTTTATTTTTTTTTAATATTTCATGATTTTTTAACTATTGTATAATTAATAATATAATTAAATATAAAAATAAATATAATATTTAATAAGAATATAATAAAATATAAATTAATAAAATATAAATATACAAAATAATTAATAAAAATTAAATAAAATAAAATTAAGTATCCAATAAAAATAAGAGAATAAAATATATCATAACATATTCTTTTATATAACTTCTGAGTTTTGTCAAAAAAATATTAAAATTAAATAAGAAAAATAAAAGAAAAATAAGAATTATTAACTCTTTCAGTTTTTTATGCTTATTATAAGACACCAGATAAACTAGTTAATTTAATTTATAGCCTTAGTTAGTTATAATAATTATTATTGAGTTAAAAAATGATAATTTAAAAAGTGAATAATAATTATAATAGAGTTTTATTTTATATATTATAGTAAAGATTTTTTGATAAACTATAATAACATATAGAATATTTCACAAATTACCAATACACATAGTACTTCAATCTTTTCTATTAAGATGAAATTAAAAATAAAAAAGTTTAACTTGTATATATAACAGAAAATATTCATTATAAACTTCAAGTAATATTGAATCAAAAATTAATTATAATAACAATTTTTATATATAAAAATTCATATATTCAAGAAGAATAATAATAAAAGAAGAGTAATTGTTTAAAGTTTAATAAAAATAAAATAAAGTTAAAAAAATAAAATAAATATTATAAATATAAATAATAAATATATAAATAATATTATTTTATTATCTACTTTTAGATAATAATATATAAATAAAAATGATGTAATAAAAATAATTATAGTTCATTAAATATACTAATTGAATATATTATAAATTTTTCTTTTTAAATTATCACTATTTTTTTGATTAATTCTTTTAATATTTGTCAGTTTTAAATAACTATTAATATATATATAATAATTTCTTATTATTTTGAAAATATTAATATATTCTAATTATAAATATTTTTTTATCAAAAGTTAATTTTAGAAATATTTTACTTATATAGTCTTTGAGCTTTAGCATTTTTTGTGTATTAACTAAATTTATATATTATTATATTAATTATTTTATCTATTTTAAATAGAACAAAAATAATAATATAATTTTTATTATTTAAAGTATATGTATATAGAGCTAGTAATTTTTCTTTTGCTAGATAATTTGATAAAGCTTTAAGTAGAATATTATTATTTATTATTTCTTGAATTCCTTTTATTATTGATTTTTTCAATATTTTTAGAAGTAATACTAGAGCTAGATATGATTTTAATTTATTCTAGATATTGTATTATAATATTAATATTTATTTTGATTAAAAATCTATAATCAAATTTGTTTACTTTAATCTTTAAGCCTGAATAAAAATATGAAATTTTAGTAAACAAGTTATTTGTCAGTTGTTGAATTTTTTCTGGAACTTAATCATAATCAATAAATCAAATAAATTGAAAATTTATAAACAGAGAAAGGAAAAAGAAAAAAATTTACAAAAAAAATTCTGAAATGAATGTTGATATAGTTAAGGATAGCATGATATCCAATACTGCGTC